ATAGAGTTTCACATCTTCTTTATTTTTATAAATCTTTCTAAGATTTTAGTTCCAGTCTGATGACTTGCATTGTTTTCCCTCTGGTATTCCTAACATAGGGAAGTCGGATGTACTTTGCTCATCGGTGATATTTTCATTTTTACCTAATTCTTTTCTTCGTCTCATTTTCACATATTAAATTTGTGTTCCTGTTTTTCTTCTACTTCTTTTAATGCATAATCTATGTGTGTGTTAATGTTCTCTTGTTTAGACTTTTATCTTATATTGTATATGAACACGGTATCAGATTCAACCTAACTGCTTTTCTGTTGCTCATTTGTATTCAAAACTGTTTTCCCTGTACTTTTAGACAGGAGACATAACAAAAATTTTTTTCTAATTTTATAACTCTTGAGTTTCCTTATCTGTGAAATTTTCAATACATGTGGCTTAGTTTTTGAGGTTTTCTGGCTCCATTCCTTCCCCCATTTTATCTGGATTATTTTTCCTTCACTGTCCCTGTGGTATTGGGGAGAATATATTTGTAAATGACACACCCAACAAAGGGTTAACATGTAAAATATATATAGAACTTACATGCCTCAACACTCAAAAAGCAAATAACCCTATTAAAAAGTGGGCAGAGGATATGAACAGATACTTCTCCAAAGAAGAAATTCAGATGGCCAACAGGCACAGGAAAAGATGCTCCACAGTGCATGTAGTTATCAGGGAAATGCAAATTAAAACCACAATGGCCAGCATCGAAAAGACTAGGAACAACAAATGCTGGTGAGGATGCGGAGAAAGGGGAACTCTCCTACACTGCTGGTGGGAATGTAAGCTAGTTCTATCACTGTGGAAAGCAATAAGGAGGTTCCCCAAAAAACTAACAACAGAAATACAATTTGATCCAGGAATTCCACTCCTAGGAATTTACCCAAAGAAAACAATTTCTCAGATTCAAAAAGACATATGTACCCCTATGTTTATCACAGCACTATTTACAATAGCCAAGATATGGAAGCAACCTAAGTGTCCATCAGTAGATGAATGGATAAAGAAGAAGTGGTGCATATACACAATGGAATACTATTCAGCCATAAGAAAGAAACAAATCCTACCATTTGCAACAACATGGATGGAGCTAGAGGGTGTTATGTTCAGTGAAATAAGTCAGGCAGAGAAAGACAAATACCAAATGATTTCTCTCATTTGTGGAGTATAACAATGAAGCAAAACTGAAGGAACAAAACAGCAACAGACTCACAGATTCCAAGAAGGGACTAGCAGTTACCAAAGGGGAGGGGTGTGGGAGGGAGGGAGAAGGGGATTGAGTGGTATTATGATTGGCACACATGGTGTGGGGGGGTAGATCATGGGGAAGACAGTGTAGCACAGAGAAAACAAGTAGGGACTCTGTGGCATCTTACTACACTGATGGACAGTGACTGCAGTGGGGTATGTGGGGCGGACTTGATAATATGGGTGAATGTAGTACCCACATTGTTTTTCATGTGAAACCTTCATATATCAATAATACCTTAATAAAAAAATATATATATATGAACAAAAAATTCAATACAACATTTAGAATATAAAATAAAGGAAACCTCTCCAAAAATAATATAAAAAACAAGACAGAAAATAAGACAGTAAGGATCAGAGGCTCAGAGGACCAACTTGATGAGATCTAACACCTGATAGGGTTTCGAGGGGGAACAGGACAGAGGAGTACAGGTTTAGCAGGACATGCAACACCCCAGGAGGAGAGTGGGAGTCTCCAGCCCAGACAGACCCACAAAGCCCAGCACAAGGGAGGAAGCTGGCCCCAGGGACACCCAAGTGGGTTTTCAGAACCGCAGGGACAGAGAGCGTGGGCTTCCAAAGAGAAACAAAACTGGCCAGAGAGAAGGGAACAGGAGTGGCTCAGACATCTCAACAACACTCCTGTTGCTAGACAACAGTGGGGCAAAACTGGGCAGAAAGTCGCTTGCCCCTGGAACTCCACAGCTAGCTAAACTGTGTGTGGTGCAAGGTAGACACATTTTCAGACAGGAAGGACTCAGAAAATTCTCCCACACACGCTTTCTCTGCAAGAAACTGAAAGACAGGTGCCATCAATCAAGAGACTGAATGTTGTGAGCTGCTCACTTGGGTGAAATGGCAGTGAACAAAAAACACAGACAACAAAGACAGACAATGGCTGCAGCCCCAATGTGGCGCAGCTCTTTTATTTTTATACTGCCTTTCTGGGACCCCAGATAAGTGCTATACTCATCTTTTCCCTCTCAGGGGGGACAGGCCAGAACATCTTGTCGATTTTCTTAGAATTTGCCCAGTAAGCAGGGGTGGTATTTTCACACATCCCCAAGGCCTCCCTGTTTTCAGCATGAGGCGTCTTGGTTTGTTTTCGAGGAGGAGATATGCTTTTGTGGGCAGATAACTTCCAAGGACTGCACTCGTTGTTTTCAAGCTGGTGCTTCCCTGTGCTGCATTCAGACAAGGGGGAAGACAAAGGCCGTCCCCGTCACTAAACCAAGAAAGAACACTGCTGCTGCCAACAGCACTCCACACTTGGCCTCGCCTCTCCACAAGGGCTCCTGTGCATGGCACCACCACCTACGAGTTGTAGGGCTGGGGCATTTTAACTTCCCTAAGCCTCAGCAGTAAACAAGGGTCCTAAGAGTACCCGTCCACAGGCAGTGCAGACACACAGGGACCTGGCCCAGGGCCAGGGGGAGTAGTGGGGGAAGCAGGACCAGGCTGCTGGCAGTCACCCTGAGACACGCGGTCGCCCAGAGAGGGGCAGGAGGACAGCCCCTTTTGGGTGGGGGTGAGGTGAAGGGACAGAGCATTTGGAAAACTCCACTAAGATGGGCAGCATCCACCTGCAGGCATATTTGGGTAAAAATCAATGAGACACAAAACTACACAGACAGAAAGAGAAAGCAGCTGCTACTTCCAGGATGATGAAGGAAGGCTGTCAAGGAGAACTGCTGGCTTGGGGCACAGCGGCCGCGCAGCTGGGCAGATGCGGCCGCTACTCAGGTAACATAAATGAGCACATGGCCACCCTGGGGGCCAGGGAAGGCTGAGTGGGGTACTCCATGTGGCGTGCAGCACCATAATGCCCCACAACCCGCTCCTAGTGCCACACCCATGCACAGTCCCCTGCCCTGAGTGTGGGCTGCCCATAACTCGCCTCCAGGGAGCAGATGTCATTCTAGGATCAGGTTATAAATGGGCTCCCATCTGGGCTGCCATGTGGAGAGCTACCCATGGAGAGGAGGGGCCCACATGGCAGGGACTGGGGAGGCCCCTGGCCATGGGCCACAGGAAAGTGAACCCTGCCGGCAACCCCGAGGATAAACTTAGAAAGAGGTCCCCCTTGGTTGAGATTTCAGATGAGACCAGAGCCTTGGCCAAGGTCCCCTTGAGAGAAACCCTAGACTGGAGGACCCAGCAAGGCCACACCCAGACTTCTAACCCACAGAAACCATGAGACAACAGATGTTTGTCATTTGAGGCTGCTAAGTCTGCGGCTACTCTGTTAAGCAGAACAGATAACTAATACACCTAATTTAATGGGAAGTCAGCAGGGAACATCTAAAGTGGATAAACTGAGAAATAGAAGTGTAAGCATGGGATTTGGGAACATGATGGAAATGACTGGAAAACATGGGGAAAGGGGTCAGCAGAGGGTGCAGGGGCTGCTGCCTCTCATTATAAATCATGTAGTGCTCTCTGACTTAACTACATGCAAATAATATCTGGATTAAAAGTTATAAGACTAACAGCAAGAAAAACAACAAACTACGTGTCCAGCAGGTGAGGTCTGACTTTCAACCACAGGAAAAAAAGGACGAGGACATCACGACGTGCCTGTCACCTCGGAGTGGTGAGCCTGGGCAGCTCTGTAATTCCTTAGACTCTTATAGGTTTACACACATATTACTTTTGCATTTAGAAAGCACAATCAATGATATTAAAATGGACAAACAACAGAAACAAAAGCCCTGTAAGCACACTAGCATTCAAAAGCATTCCAAAGGCAGAGGGGACAGGACTGTGGTGTCGGGGACCCTGCCACAATGGGAGAGGCCAGGGCATCTAGGCCTTCGCGTCAGGCTCAGCTGGGCGGGCTGACTCTCACTGGGCCCTGCCGAGCACACAGCCCAGCAGTCGCAGCCATATCACAGACTGTGCCCCAACCAGGGCAGAGAGTTGGTGGAGCACCAGGCCTATGGAACGCTGAAGCCCACACTTGCGGTCCTGCACTGCCATTTTCCAAGTAAATAAAATAACATTGGGTTTTATTTCTGAACAAAAAAACTGAAGCCCAAAATTTATTTATGCAGATTTGAACTAATGAGGAAATAGATTCTCATTAAACAAGAATCTCTCAGAGAACCAAAAATTAAGGTCAGTATTGTACAAATACTTATGAAGAAAAAAATTAGCACTTATCGAAAACTGCATTTAAAACAAAACAACTAACCTGAAATGTATATCCCTGAACTTAGAGTAGCTGGGGTCAAGTTCAGCGAAAATGGCAGTGGGCAGAGCCGCTGGTCTTCTGTGAGACCTGCTGTGTCGAGGATGTCAGCGGTAGGCAAAGTGTGAGATGTGACGGTCAGAGTGAGTCTGCGGATGGCTGTGTCTGACCCTCTCGGGCAACCTGCCCAACGCCTTAAGTCTGGGGCTTCTGAGTCACATGTGCAACAGCACAGGTGCCCCCATGTCTCTTTAGGGGAGCCTGAATTTGCAGGCATGACATCAGAGATCTGTACCCTGGAACAGGTGAGGCTGGCTGCACTCTAGCGGTCAGGCCTGTCACCTCACGCCACACAGGTGTCCGTGCGATGCCATCAAGATACAAGGAGCAGATGTGGCACCTGCTCTGAGCATCTCACATTCTTTTAAACCACTTCAGGGCATTTATATGACTCCAGTGATGTCTGAGACTTGTGTAAATAAGAAAACCACAGAAGTAAATACATAAAGTGATTGTCACTGACCTTTACACACACACTGACAGAAACTGTCCGACCCCCTTGGTTGCCGAGCGTGTTAAACAGTGCAAGCGTCTGAATCCCACCAGTGTCACCATGTGCATCGTCGGCCCAGCCATCATCTCCCATAAACTTGACTTTTAGCCAGTTTGCTAGGAGTCTGTGAAGAAAAGAAAACACAAAGAATCTAATTCTAAATTTGAACTATAAAGATTTTCAGGAAAAGAAATTAGAAAGAGAAATATCACCCAGATGTGGATTCACAGACACCTCCTCACACAGGCTGTGGGTTAAGAGGGGCAACTATTCTGGGTTCTGGGTCCGGCTAAGAGAGGACACTCAAGGGACTGGCCCACTCTGATGGGATTTAGGGCTCTGAAGCACTCAGACAAGATTGTAAGCAATAAAAGCTGTCCTTAAAGTTTGAAATACATATGTTTTATAGATTCAGATTTCTCATGCCTAAGACCTTGAGAATTCCTGTGATATGTTTCCTAATAAACTTACCGGCAAATCAGAAAACAGCTCTTTTAAGAAATCAATCATCATTTGAGTACTTATAAAGCATCACAACTCCCTTTTCTGCTCAAGTATCTTACGAGATAATCTTTAAAATCTTTCTTTTTCCTAAGCCTGCATCTATTCCAGTAGGAACTGCCTAACGTGTAATGTATTCAGAGAGCTTAACACCCGCACGTGTCCTAGTGGGAATGTGAGGCGGTCCTCTGCTGTGGAAGTTTGCAGTTCTTCAAAGACGTGAATATGTAGTTACCAGACACCTGGTGTGTAATGGAGGTGGCTGCAGACACATGTCTGCACAAGCACCTACACAAGGACGTTTGCGCTGTTCACAGTTACCCACACCACCTGTCAGGCGTGATGAACAGATAAAGAGAGCATGGCACAGCTGCACAAGGGGATATTATTCTGCCACATAAAAGGAGGAAGGACTAACACAGGCAACAGTGTGAGTGAGCCTAGGAAACACTGTCATAAAAAAAACAACTCACTTTGTGGTCCCATGTACACAGGATGCAGGACAGGTAAGTGCAGGGGCAGAAAGCAGACTGGCAGCTGCCAGCGTGGGTGTGGGAGGAATGGAGAGGGGCTGCTAACTGGGCTGGGGCTTCTTTTCAGGTAAAAGGAAAGTTCTGGAATGAGACAGTGATGGTGGTTGTACAACTCTGAATATACTAAAACCAGTGAAATGTACACTTAAATGGGCAAAATTTGTGGTATGTATTACATCTCAATAATACTGTTAGAGAAGAAAAGTAGCATGTTCTGCAGTTGCTTTAAAAGTATGGTTTCTGGAAGCAATTTGGTTACGAGAAATATTTTGGTTTTTTTTTTCAAAAAGCCAAGTTTTTTTCCTAAGAAAAAAAAGAACTATAGTAGACAAACTGTAAGCTGTCTTCCCCAAGAGTCTACAACGAAGCGGCTCTATGAATATACCTCAGCATAGCTTTAAACTATCATATCTTACATGCTTTTGGACTATGGCAGCGATCACAGAACAAAATTTTAAGTGTCATCTTCAGGGCACTGAGCAGACTACAAGCCTAAACATCAAACACAAGCCTCCATAGCAGGGTCCCCATCACAGGGAGGAGCACACACTGTCATCCTAGCTGCTCTCTGGCATCAGGGTCTATAGAGAGGACCCTGTACCTGCTGGGGCTCCCTGGAGACTCTCCATTGGGCAACACCAGCACCGGCTTCCAGAATACACGCTCCTGCCTCCCAGGATGGTGCTCGGCCACGAGGGACGCCAGGTCCAGGGGGGACCATGCTGCATTCCTGGAAGGTACAGAGCACAGGGGGTGAGCCGTGCCTGAGCCCCGGGATGGAGCAGCATGCAGCAGGGGCACAACTGACCTCAGCAGCTGCTTATGGAAATGCTGGACCTTCATCTGGTACACCATCTTGTTCCTGAGCCGCCTTGACCTATGAAGAAAGAACAACACTGTCCAGTGTGAGGCCAGCTCAGCGCCCAGGGAAGGGACTTGGTCAGCACTCACTGATGCTCTGAACGAAAGTAACTGGTTAGTGGTGTGGTGGGGGACACAGGGGGCTCTCCTGACTCAGGTGAAGCGGCCAGGGCTCCAGAAGGGGGCTAGGCCAGCACCAAGGCTGCCGTGGGTCAGAACCCTCAACACCTGGCCATACAGCATCCAGGCAGGTCAGCACAATCCCCCACCCCACTTACAGATGCAGGAATGGAATCCCAGGAACCAAGACAACCACACAAAGCGTGTTGGAGCCACATGAAACCTATGGAGGCAGTTTTCAGAGAGAACAGCCCAAGGGAGGGTGAAGCATGGTACAAGACCACAGCCCCTCCATGTTGCCTCCCCACCCCAGCCCTGTACTGGAGGCCCTTCTCAAGAGGTCACGCAGGCATGGCCAGGTTGGATAATTCAGGCAAGGGCCTGGGGAGGGCCATGGAGCCGGACATGCTGCAGAAGACAGGGTGGCAGTGCAAGCAGGTGATGGCAAAGCAGAGGGTCTAGAAGTAGAAGGGCACAGGTGGAGTGAGCCACGTGCCCTCTGGCTTCACAAGCAGAACAGACACAGTGTCTCCTTAAACCTGGGAAACAACAAGTGTTCTCAGGAGAATCTGACCACCAGGACCTGGAACGTTTGAGGGGAGAGAGCAAGTGCAATCAAAGCGTGAAGATCAAGTCCCCGGAGGGAAAGACGACCTCAAAAACGCAATCCTGGGGTGGTCTCCACTTTTCTGATTCCCCGTCTTCCCCTCAAACACACAGGCTGACCGTACTCTCCACAGAGCCGGGGGGCAGGGGTGCTTTGAGGCCAATCGGCAGGCTGAGTGCTGACCTGGTGCAGGAGACGCCCACTTTCCCTGCATGGCCCAGGTCCAGGAGGCCCTTGGCCAGGTTCTCCTCCGCAATGGGGCACTCCGCGCTGGGTGCCAGTGCCCTGAGCTGGTCGTTCCCATGCAAACAGCAGGGTGCTGCAGGGAAGGCTCGCATCTGGCGCCTCAGTTTCTTCCGGGCTGCCACGGCCTCCCTCCACCTGGAGAGCACAGGGGAAACTCTCACAGGCGTCTGCAAATCCAACAAGCAACAGGCCTCCAGTGGAGACACAAATCAGAATTAAAGCCCAAGCAGAGCAAAAGCCTGGCGTCACAGAGACAGTGGGAGCAGAGGCGAGCAGACCCAGGAGCTGACACAGAGCCACCTGTCGGCCGAGTGGGCAACACAACACGAATACTAGCCGCACCCGACCTCTGACCCAGCAGACGCCTGCACAAGCATGTCACTGCGGCACTCTGTCCTGGCTGGAGAGGCACCGCTGGAAGCCCTGCAGTGGAGCAGGCAGGTCGTGGCGGTGCCTGACAACCGCCCAGAGGCCCGCACGCAGCTGCGGCCAGGCACCTGCCTCTGCCCAGCGGCTGGGGAACAGGAGAGCTGGGCAGAGAAGAGGCACATGCTCCCGCGCGGGCTGGTGGCCACAGGGCAGGCTCACAGGCAGTGCAGCCGCTGGGGAGGGAGACAGGGATCCTGTGGAGTGAGGCTCACTCCCCACTGTTCCCCTCCTATGTGGCAGTCACCCCCCAGCACACTGCTGCTCGCTGCTGTGACCCGCCATACAACACACATCGCACACCATGCACGCCCAGTTCAAAGACTAACAACAAGTCACTAGCCACATGCTTCCATCCACCAGGAAGCAATGGCCATGACCAGCGCTGGACACCTGTGGGCCCGCTCAGTGACTATACTACTCTGTGAAAATCCAGAACAACCTATCTAGTTTGAATATACACTGTATGTTGTGTACACTTCCCCCAAAATTGTTTTTCTCCGCTATAAATCATTTCAGAAATGTGTCCATGTGGGTGCATACAGGTGTCATTTGGCTTGCTCATGGCCAATGCCCTGTGCCTAGTGGGTAAACTACAGAAGACAACCTGTGAGTCTGTGCTGAAACAGAACACTGCTCCCCAGCCTAACTCCTCACTGATCCCCTTAGTTTACACCCTTCGGGAAGGACCGCGTTACACGGATGTACACACTGGCTGCCTCTGAGCGCACAATGCCTGTGGAGGCCTTCCCCTGCACATCAGTGTCACCTGCCAGGACAGGGACTCACCGCTGCAGGTATCTGCAGAAGCACTGAAGCTCCTGGAGGGTCTCCTTTGCAGTCTGGAATACTTCCTCCTCCAGAAACAAATCCACCAAGTGGACACAGACAGCCTCCGAGCAGCGGGCCATGCGGACCCTCTGGTCGGCCTCCATGGCACTCCTAGGAAAGAGGGCAGTCAGTATGGGGGGGCCACACTCAGAGTGGCCTGGAGGTGCAGGAGGCAAGTCCTCCACCGGAACATGAGTGCACCTTCATGACAAGGGAAGCTTTAAGATTCTGCCTGTTGCTTAATGCAGATTCCTGGGAGGATGGAAACAAGAATGGAAGCACCACACCTACTGGATCACCAGTCCAGCCGGGCCTTGAAAACAGTCAGGAAATAAACCTTCATTTAATGAAATAGTGAGAAATTTAATTTTTAAATGATCACTAAGGCAACTACCCCATCTTCCCATCAGTAGTATCCGATGATGAAGCCAAGAGTCTTGTGCCTAGACGAGGTTTCCACGACGACTCCTATCAAACAAGGGAGCACAGAGGGACTTTGCCCAGTACATTCAGTCACAAAATCCAAGCCGCTCAAGCCAAGCAAGACGCATTTCCTATAGCCACCCTCTGTGGCGGGTGGAAAGGATAGCATTGAGCTGGAATCCAAATCTGAGCTGTGGAGAGCACAGCCAGTGACCTTGACGTTACTCAACTCCTAACACCCCTTCCTGGGACTGAGGACAGACATATTCCTGTCACCTGTGAGGTCTTTTGCTTAGAGCAAGCAGTGATGTGGACTCCCAACTAACAGATGTGGCTTGAAGAGACATTAATGCAACAATCCGTTCAAGCCTCCAGGAAGCTATGATCCCAGCACTCGCCGCCCATCCCCTCCCGGGCCATCTTGGGGGAGCTTAAGCCAAGTCAGGCTTCCCTGTGCACCTGGGCCTCCTTCCCTGGAGCCTGACCCTGAAGCTATTAACTTAAGGGAGACACCTCAAAGACAACTTTAACATACCCCACAAGGGAAAGAGCCTTCCACATGAGAAAAACCAGCAGAGTGGCTGTGTAGAAGACACTGCCTGCCATTCTGCCGACAGACACACCCTGAGGGGCAGGGCCTCTGCAGGAACACAGCTGCAGGCCTAGGTCTAGCCCCTCAAAGGCATGTCCTTGTCAGAGTGCAGCCGACTGCACAGCCCGCCAGTCGTGGGCCCCTCTCCCCGGCAGGAGCCACCCTGCCTCACCTCAGCTCCCCTGCGCAGGCTTCCCTCACACATTCCGTCAGCACGAGTTCTGTCAGCTCTGTAGCCAGGCCCTGGCTCAGCTGACTCAATGCCAGTTCTCTCTCCTGTTTCAGCCTAGGGGTACAAGAGAGATAGCACAAGGGTAACACTTGGAGTAAGACCGCATACCCGTGGCCTCCCCACTGGATTCTGAGTTTGCTGCCTAGGTCGGCAGGCCCTGCCCTCCGATCCCGCCAGACAGGCACACAGCCAACCCCACTCTGGCTCCGAGACCACTAGCTCCCCCAGAGCCGGCCGCTGTGTGTGGGGGCGCTGGGGGGGGGCCGGGGACCTGGCGCTGGACCAGCAGACAACAGCAAGAGAGCCCGGGCCGAGGCAGGGCCCGCCGACCACGCCCTGACGCCCATGTGGCAGCCCACCTCTGCTCTTCCACCCACCGCCTTGCCACCTCCTGCCGCTCCATTTCCTCAGTCATTTCTTCAGCAGCAATGTGCCTCAGGATGCCCACAGTAGCGGCCGTCAGCAGCTCCTCCACAGCGGCATTGGAAACACTACACAGAGCAAAGTGGATGTCATTCTAAATAAGAACGAAAGAAAAGCCAAGCAAACCTTGGAACTAAACTCTAATATAGGCAAGGAAAAAAAACACACCATCTATCAAAACTGAAGAAACAGAAGACCCAAATAGATCTGTAACTAGAAAAGAGATTGACTGAACGTTTAAATATGTGTACTTCGTTAGATTTTGAAATCATGTTTAAGGTAAATGCTGTTCGTTTACCACCTTAATAACCCTAACACCACTCAAAGAGCACCCCCAGACGACTACACGCAGTGCAGCTGGTTGGAAGCACGAGGAGCCGCACCCCCAGGGAGCAGGACCCACGGGTGAGCCTGTATAGACGGGTGGCTGCAGCGGCCTGCTAGGCCTCGGCAGCTTGAGAAGAGGACACAGGGAGTGACCCGGTGGCCCCGTGAGCGCAGACGCCACAGGCGGGAGGGAGCCACACTTACCCAAGCGCGGTGGCTGCAAAGGCTGCCCCAGCAGCACCCACCTCTTCACAGTCCCTCTGGAGGGCCTCCTGGATGAGTTCGTCTACCACCTGCACCAGGTCCTAAGGAGAGGCCACACATCCGGAGCACAGGCGTGAGGAACACCACCTCCACCCATCCCAGCTCAGGGCCATGTGGTCTTGCACTGCAGCCAGAGGGGCTGGACAGAGGTCTTCATGGAACCACCAAGGAGCCCTCCCAGGACACCCGCCCAGCGTCCAAGTCCCTACAAGACCCCCTCCCTGGTCACTTAAGGAAAAAAAACACACCATCTATCAAAACTGAAGAAACAGAAGACCCAAATAGATCTGTAACTAGAAAAGAGATTGACTGAACGTTTAAATATGTGTACTTCGTTAGATTTTGAAATCATGTTTAAGGTAAATGCTGTTCGTTTACCACCTTAATAACCCTAACACCACTCAAAGAGCACCCCCAGACGACTACACGCAGTGCAGCTGGTTGGAAGCACGAGGAGCCGCACCCCCAGGGAGCAGGACCCACGGGTGAGCCTGTATAGACGGGTGGCTGCAGCGGCCTGCTAGGCCTCGGCAGCTTGAGAAGAGGACACAGGGAGTGACCCGGTGGCCCCGTGAGCGCAGACGCCACAGGCGGGAGGGAGCCACACTTACCCAAGCGCGGTGGCTGCAAAGGCTGCCCCAGCAGCACCCACCTCTTCACAGTCCCTCTGGAGGGCCTCCTGGATGAGTTCGTCTACCACCTGCACCAGGTCCTAAGGAGAGGCCACACATCCGGAGCACAGGCGTGAGGAACACCACCTCCACCCATCCCAGCTCAGGGCCATGTGGTCTTGCACTGCAGCCAGAGGGGCTGGACAGAGGTCTTCATGGAACCACCAAGGAGCCCTCCCAGGACACCCGCCCAGCGTCCAAGTCCCTACAAGACCCCCTCCCTGGTCACTCCCGGGGGATCTAACAGTGCATCGGGACCCAGGCTACGTGCTTCCATCCCTCTGATGAACAGAGGGGCCTGGGGAGGGCAGGGGAGTGCACTGGCCGCCCTGGCTCTGCTCTGGTGCTGCAGGCCCCTTGCTGCCCAGGGCAGGTGGTGAGGTTGAATCCACAGCCGTGGGAAGGCCCTGTTTGACCCCAGGGCCCACCCGTCAGTGGACACGGGGTGCTGACACATCCACTGGCTCTCTGCAATGACAGGTGCCGAGCGCCACAGAGCACACGAGCTGGGCACTTAAGTGCTGCCCTGACGGCCGTAAGGAAGGCAGGATGGACAGTGAGCCTGGGGGAGGCCCAGCTACCACCTGAGCTGACGACTGTGGGCAGGTCCCTCCCCAGCTGCCTCGCCCCCTTCCTGTGCCACCAGGCAGTGTGGCCAGCCCTGCAGACAGCCTGTCCAGGAAACCCTTTGACTCGCTCACTCTCCAAAGTCTCAACAGTGACCCTTTCAAAGGGAGACACAAGCCACGAGCCAGAGAACTGCATGTGGTCTTGCTTTGGGGCCCCAGAAAGACGGGTTCAAGGGCCAAGGTTCCGGGGTCCAGCACGGCAGGCCCTGGGGCGTTCTAGAGTCACACACACAGCCACCTGGTTGGGCTTGATCCATAGACAACAGTCAGGCTGGACGCCACACGCTGCTGGGTGGCCATGCAGCTGGGCGCCTCAGAGCCCTGGTGTGTAAAACCCCTTACCGAGTCAGTGTACATAGGTGCAGGCCTGGGGGTAAGCAGCTCGGGCTGCACAGGGGACTGGAAGAGACTGGGCACCACACTCAGGGTGGCTGGGAGCTGAGGCGGAGGAGCTGGGGCAGGCGCCAGGGCAGGAGGCAGCTGCAGGAGGGCAGCAGGTGGGGGCACGTCCACTTCGGCATCACACTCTTCCCCTCGCCCCACACCTGGAAGGGAACGGGCACATGAGGGCACTGAGGACAACCCCCAGGCCACCCAAAGTGACCCTCAGAGCTGGCCACCCTCCCAGAGCAGACGGCCTGGGGTGCCTCCGGAGCAATGTCACAGGGCCATGCTCTGTGACACCAGGGAGCCATTCAAGCTGCTCCTGGGGAGCAAGGTCCAAGCCCTGAGCCAACAGCCATGCCCAACCCCAGGACGAGACGGTTGCTCTGGCTGCTGAGGGGCTTCCTGGGGACCAGGCTCCCTCCTAACACTGTGGCTCACTCACCTGCTGCTTCCAAGCCGGGTCTCTGAGTGCCCACGGGCTCTGCAGCCAGGCTCTCCCCAACGTACTTGTTCTGGGAGTTGAAGCTACACACAGGGGTGTGACGAGGGACAGGGGGCAGCGGCCCTCCATTCACAGTTTCCCCGACAGACACTGCCAGCTTCCTGGTAATAAACACCGACTTCCTGGCCTTGGATAACCCCTCTGGTTCCAGGAACGAGGACCGGTTCAGCTCGACACAGCTACCCAAATGGCAGAGAACCCACAGAGAGGCATACACAAGTGAGAAGCCAGCCTTGGCCGTCCCAGCACCTGCCAGCACTGCTCAAGGCTGGGCCGGCCGAGGAGCCCACAGCACCACACTGCGCCTGGGCCACATCCTCTGACACAGAGCCACCTGGCCTGGCCAACAGCCACAGCACGGAGCCGTGCACACCCCATGCTCCTGTCTCATTCCAAAGCCACCATGTTTCAGTGAAGACAGGACAGCAGGTAGCAGGCCCATGGAGGCCAGTAGTAAGCAGTTAGGGGAGGGGACAGTTGGGACACAACACATCACATATTATAGTGCCACTTCCTGGGACAGGGTCCCTGAGTTTCATCAGGTTCTCAGAACACTCTGACTCTGAGCAGAGGGGAAGCCCTGGCCTGGCCCACCAACGCCTGTCTGGCTATCATAAATGGGCCATCAGAAGCCGTCTTCAAGGGACAGAATAAGGAAACCTCCCCTTCACTGTTAGGTTCTCCAGTAACTTATGAAAAGCACTGTTTCTGGAGTCACAAAGAAGGGGGCCTGAGCCCCAGTCTGTTGACAAGCAGGTCTGATCTGGGGTGCTGCCCACCTTTCTGAGCCTTGTCCTGCTCACCTGAACCATAGGGAGGCAGCGTGTGGAACGTGCTTCCCCAGGCCTGGCACAAGCTGGCAATTCCCAGCCCTTTACTAGAATTAAAGAGCAAGAGGAGAGGCCCTGCAGCTCCTCCCTGCCCTTACCCATCAGAAACGGAGAGACCGTGGTCGTTGAGGAAGTCTGTGGCCTCATCACAGTCTCTGAAGAGCAGAGTGCGCACCACCCCATCCAGGGGAAAGGCAGTGGACCGCTGTGTGCTCACAGTGTAGGCAACGTTCAGCGCCCGGAGCGCGTCCCTGCGGATCTGAGAGAAACCAGACTAAGGGCCAGTCACCCCACGGCCACAAAGACGAGGCACGGGGGAATGGCGCTCCACTATAGCGCCCCGCTCATGGCAACCGGCACCAGGCTTATGACCATCAGGCCATCTTCTGGGCGGAAGATGCCAAAAAATGCACAGGAAGCAATCCATTTCCTACACAGAAAACGTTAGACCCTGAAGGGTTTTCAGTAAGAATTAAAAACCCACCCACAAGCAGGCAGGAAAAGTAAAGAGTGTGCCACCCTCTCAACAAAAGGCTGCACAGCTGCTGAGGTCACCATGGAGACAAGGGGGTGCTGGGACGCACGGCAGCAGGCTAAGCAGCAGGGGACAGGACTGCCTCGCAGCACCGTCACAGGCGCTCGGAGGAGACGAGGAAGACAAAGATGCCGACGAGAGTGGGTGCCGGAACTCTGGGTGACTCCCCTACTGCTCACTTCCCTTCAGTGTCCTCAACTGATTCAGTCAAGTTTCACCAAGTGTTTGCTAAAGCTGGGAGTGCAATGGGGCAAAGTAAGACCCTGTCCCCACAGGCATGCCCAGGAGAGACGGCACAGAGCAGCAGGACGCAGGCGTGTCAAATGCATGGATTGTGGGGGCGGCAGGGAAACACAGGTGGGGTTGGGCGGACATGAGCGGCCCTGCCGTGGCAGGCAGGGGTGAGTGGGGCTCGGCTCTCCCCCTGCGAGAAGGCACAGGGCAAAGGCAGCAGGTCCGAGGCCTGAGCAGGCATGTGCTGGGGTGGAGAGGGCAGCACCACAGCAGGTGGAGCTCAGTGAGAGGGGCAGGACAGTGGGGCTGTGGGTGCCATGGCTGGTGAAACTCTTGGTTTTTGTAAAGGGAAAGCACTAGATTTCTCTTTTGTTCAAAGTTGTCATGTTAATAACTAGGCATTTGTGCCCATTTTAGGCACTAATGACCAACATTTCTAATAACATTAAATAATCATTATTTTAAATATTGACTACCACCTTTTCCTATCAGCTGTATAGTTTGCTAAGTGGCACACTGTTAGAAACCTCTTCACGTGTCCCCGAAGTCAGTTCTGTCAGCAGCCATCAGACCTGAGACCAGCAGATGTGCAGACCTGCCACTTGGGATGTGGTCAAGGACCTTCCATCACCACAGTGGAAAGACAGCCTGGAGCCAGACTCAGCCTTCTCCCAACCAGCCAACCGCCCAGTGCCCGGCCGCAGCTTTATCATCACCCCCAAGTGCCCTCAGGAGGCTGTGGCTAAAGATGTGGCCTAGACATTCTGAGACCAGTCATTCACATGCAGAGCCCGGAAGAAGCCGTCCTGCCTCTGTGATAACGTGCACAAGGCACCAACGAGGCATTCACTGAGATGGACTTGCACCAGGCCCTCTCTAACGACTTAGATTAATAATGCTAAGGATTCCTAAAGTAGGGATTTTGTGCATGCAATTCTGGGTTTTTGTTTCTTTGTTTCCATGGAAAATAGCAGTGCTAAACTCAGGGCACATTATTCTAAAGGGACTTCTCTTATCTGAACCACAGAGAACCTCTGCCATGGCATAGCTCTTCCTGCAGGCAGCCAATGGTGCCAAGCCCTGTAAAGTCGGGGGCGACCACGTGGGTTGTAGAGGGGTCAGCTCAGGACCTGCTGAGATGCTCTTGAAATGAAGCAGCACTTAAATATGGTAAGTAACAACCTGCTTTCTCCCAGATCTGCAAGTACAGGTGTACACTCACCTGATTAAAGTAACAGTGTAGAAGACAGGCATTCAGATAAGAAGCTGACTGGACCAGTTTGAAAAATCTCACAAAATTATTACTGTTCAACGCGGCAAAAGCCTGAACGGCAAATTTCACCTCAGAGGAATTTCTAACAGCAGGATGAAATTGTTGCACTTCTCTGTAAATAAAAGGAGATTAAAGGGGTTAGAATTTCATTTTTAATTTAACAAAATTTCCATGAAAAGAAATCTGATAAAAAAGAAAACTAGACTCCGACCCCACTGAGAGATGTTCTCGGCGGCACGGGGGCCTTACGTCCGTAGTGTGCTGACCTCAGTGCCGCCACTTTTGGGCTGGACTGTAGGCAGAGGTTTTGTTTAAAAAGATGACGAAGAAAGTAAACAAAGCCACACAAAAGCAAAAAATTAACAACAGCCTATCTAATGCCAACTGTTTCACCACGATGTCTAAGAAACAAAATTTAACTTTGTTTTGTTTAGAAATAAGCTGACCCGGATGAATACTCAAGATAAGGAGACAAATGCCTATCACACATAAAAAGACTGCACAGCCATTTTCCATGTTTCTCCCCAAAGCTTAATTTTAAAACTCAAAGTTGACCACATCCAGGTATTCTGCAACAAAGTTCTTGGGGAAAACACCAAGCTAAAAGTCTCTGCACAAACAAGGGACTCCGGTGCCATCAGGCCCATGCGCTAACAGCAAGGTGGAGACACCAGGGCCCTGTCGTATTCTTATGCATGTCCACACGGATCAGACCAGGGCTTGAAGTCCATTCTTTCTTAACATCCCACCCCCAACATTTTTGTTTCACCCAATTTTTCTTCTCCTATCTTTAACAAGGTGCACACGTGTATGAGACACACCTGGACAGAGCCAATTGCTGACAGTGCCTGTGGGTACCTGGCCTTCCCTGCCCTGGTCCCCCACCTGCTCTGCCCACGGGGTCCAGTCCTTCCTCATCTTCTCTCACTGACAAGGAGAAACTGTCCTTAGAAAGGGTTTGGGGCCACTTCAGAAGCGCTATACCAGCACCCCGATCCTCTGCTCCTGTCAATGGAGTGCAGGGCCCAGCCCAGGTGCCTTACTGTCAGCCCAGCATTCCGCACCAGAGAGAGCACGGGGCCGTCTCCCCCACGAACCCCGATGGCTGTATCCTGTTTAAACCCTGCCTTTCCAGACAGCCAGGCTCACTCCAAGGTCTGTACACGTACCTCAGGATGTCCCCCTTGTTGAGACTGAGCAGGACGTTGTAGCCCTGGAACTCCGCCTCGCTGGCACAGAGCACACCCTTGCTTCTCAGGTCCTGGTACATCTCCTTCAGGCTCTGAAGGCACTTGGTCATGTTCTCATTGTTGATCTTAGCGTCGAAGGAGGACAGGGGCTCCTCACACATGAAGTGAGCACAGTGGATATGAAACCGGGTGCACTTCTCAATCAGGGACACCGTCAGGGGGTCGCACAGGTGCTGCTGCGTGACGTCCTGGCCACAAAGGGGCATGTCACACATGCACACATACTTCACACATGTTCAAGTGGCCCTGCACACATGCCTCGTACACACAGGAAATCAGCTCTGAGAGACCATGCTATTACACAAATTTCTCCTATCGCAATCTGAAGCAAAGCCCACAAAACACATCCAGAGTTTGGAATCATTTTAAATGGCAGTGTATTTTCTGTTACAGGGACACACAACTGGGTAAGATGGACAGATCTCTCACTTCCACCCTGGAACTCAGACGCGTCTAGTTTCCCAGTGGGGTGGCTGGTACCTTTCGGATGCCGCGTGTGCGGTTCCACACGAAGTCGTACCAGTCCCGTGGGCTGCCCTCCCTGTGGTCCATGATCTGGGTCACCAGGTAGTCCATGGTCCGGCAGAGCACAGCCGGGGGCCGCAGCTCGTGCGGCAGGGGCTCCTCCTGGTCAGCCGAGGAGCGGCTGTACTCCTTCACTGCCGCTGCGTGGTCCACCTGAGGACATGAGCCAGGACAGGCAGCTGGGGGGAGGTGAGGGGCCAGCCTCCCAGCAGCTATGCCTTATAGGGAAGGGGGAAATCACACACGCTCATGTGAGATCAAGACAACAATTTTTAAATATAAAATGTCTGTTTAAGGTGACAATCAGAATTCAAAGACACAGTAGAGACATGTTGAGGGGGCATATCTGATAAGCAGGAAGGATGAGAGGCCATCACATCAGGAAGCAGAATGGAAGTGAGGACACACCTGCTCGGCTCCAAGCACAGAGGCGGCAGGTAGGGACCTTGAAGCGAGTTCAAAGGTCTCAGCCACACTCACACACCAGACAAGTCTACACAGGCCAGAAAGGAAATGGGACAGCAGCAAGGGCCTACAGCTGAATTCACAGCCGGAGGCGGGGGCACATCCCAGGCCTGGGCCCTGGGCCTCTGCCGGGATAGGCCCTGCCCAGTGGGGAGAAGGCGGTTGCAGAGCCCCTGGCAGGGAGAAGGAGGCCCACGGGCAAAACTGACAAAGATTAAGGGGAACTGAAACGGAGGGCAGGGTGTCTGGGAACACGCACTGGCACCTGTCCAGGAAACTGAAGAAAGGTCACACCCCAATGTGGGAACTAAATTCCTAGGATCTAACGGGAGGAGATAATCTAAATACCCTAGAAGCACTACACACAATATGCCTGACAGAATTACTAATAAAAGCAAAAAATTAACAATAGCCTATCTAATGACTGCAAAATGGGGAGTTTTGACACAGCCACATAATCAAATAACATGCCATCATTTAAAAATGCTTAAAAAGAGAAGAAAATGTTCATATTTTTAAGTGAAAAAGATTCATACAAAATTGTGTCTAGGGCATAATCTCAAATACGCAAAACATAAACATAAACACTGAAAAGAATAGGAATAAAATTGTGGGAAGAAAAAATATGAAAAATATTTTAGTCTACACAACAAATTAGTACCTACATCTCTCCTTCGGGACACTATGTGCCCGGCTGCCTCACACAAGGTGCTTAGTATACATGTCACAACGCAAGTTAGTCTGATTGCTGGGGCACAACCCCCACCCTCTGAGAACATAAACACCCAAATCAAGTATCAGTATATTCAGAAACTAAAGAAGAATAAGGCTCCCCGCACACTCCACCTCCACAGCGATGATTAAACACAAGCAGTGGCCTAGACAGGAACGGCGGGGGCCTGGGGCTCTCTCTACCTGGTCGGTCCCAGGGACCACTTCAAATACGCTCAGCTGGCTCCGGGTCTCCCGCATGTACCGCTCCTTCTCAGGACACATATCGGGGCACGTCCCAACCAAAGTCCTGGCTCTGTCCAGGTCTGTTCTTTTCACCCGAGCTGCACGACGTGAGTTACCAGGCACCCAGAGAGGCGCATTTCATGGTGATAATGGGGAAGTGAAAAGAAAAACAAACACACACATATTACAAAGGAAAAAAGAGAAATGTTTTAAAGCCCTAGGCCTTAGGGCAAGGACAGCATGGCCCATCGTGCCAGGCAGCAGGACCCCTAGGACCAGTCACACCTCCCTGTGCCCCAAGGCTGCGAAGGGAGTGGATGGCTCTTCAAATAGCCTCTGTGATCAACGGTTGTGCGGCAGGGTGTTTACTAAAAGGATCGCTTTGCTGAACGTAATATTCAGTACACGCCAGTATTCTAGAACTCTCAGTGCTTCCTCACACTTCTATCACATGATGGAAGTCTCCTGAGTCCTGAATGGAACAAACCACTGTTACCACCCACAGAACAGTTACAGAAGTATCCTTCACATGAAATGGAATGCAACTTCACAATCTGAAGTACAGGCATCTCATTTTATTTTGAATGATACCAGTACCTAAATTTCATTTTGAATATAAGAATCTCTAGGTCAGTGACATAATGTATGATGGCAGCTTTTATTACTGCATTAAGAAGGCACTGTAATTATCGCACATATTCACTGCTTCTTAGAAGAGGAAACTCTTACAGCTAAAATTTAATTTTCAAAAAAATCTGCACCAAAGGAGGAAGGAAGAGGACTTGGCAGAGTAGGTCTGTCTCCAGCCTCCACCCCAAGCATTAGAGAAAGTACTGGGGAGTGGGCACGTCCCACCGCCCCTCTCTGCAGCTGCCCGGGGCTCCCCTCGGGCCTGGCTCTTCCCCGAAGAGCTCTCACCCTCCTCTGTCCAAGCTGAAGCGGACACAGCTTGCCACCTTAACCCCAGGAATCCAACTCCCAGTCCTCACTCCCTTTCCTACCCTGTGAGGAAGCAGGCAGCTCCCTAGTGGACACCTTCTGTGCCCTGCCCCAAGGGCCATTTCTAGACAGGGTATCCCACACTATAGCCTGTCCACCCTCCTGCCCACAGGGCCTGGTCAGGAGTCGGCAGCTCTGATACAGAGATCTCACCCCCACCCTCTGGCTCCTGCCTCCCGTATCTCCCAGGGGCCACCCGTCCTCCATCCTGCCAGGCGCTGTGCCCACCCTCCTCAACCTGGGCGGTGCCATGAGTCCTCCAACCCAAGGCTCCCCAAACTGACTGTTTCCTGCCCAGAGGAGAGAGGCAGACTGCAAAGGGCCCAAAGCCCTCCCCGTCCTCCTCCTGTCCCCAGCACCAGACCAGCTTTCCCAGGTGAACACCACAGGCCAGTTGGCATCTTCCCTTCATCTACAACCACAGCCATTTCATACCATTATATAAATACAATAAATGAAGACATCTTGGTTTCCATTTTGAAACATTGTTTTAGGCTTGCTCTGGGGGAGTATTTTAATTAAGAATTTTAGAACTTTACAGAGAAGAGCACATGTGCTTTCTCCTTTGATTTTTGGTCACTGCACCAATTTTTTTAATGTTCACAGAATACTTACTTTTTGAATAGGTAATACATTCATATGGTTCAATATCCTAAGATACTAAAAATGTCCAAAATGGACCACCCCACTCACCCTGCTGCCCTCTCCATATGATTTATGGGAGCAGACCCTTCACTCCTCTGTGCCTACTTACGCACCCAAGCACAGTCACACGTGAACACAACACATCCCCCTTTCCTGTGCACAACAACAGCATACTACATGCTTTCCACGCCTTGCTTTCATCCCTCCACAAATCTTGACGAGTTTTCCATAAAGAAACTCAGACTTCTTTCAGGCTGTATAGAACCCCACTGTGTGGGCTGGGTCCCAGTCGTTGTCATCACAGACAACCTTATGTGTGAGTCACACACACGTGCGTGGACTGATTCCCAGGCACAGAGTGCAGGGCGGTCAAAGGCACGAGCTCTCCTGAGTCTGACAGATATGGCCGGCCAGTGCAGCCTGCCCCAGGCACAGCACCAGGCGCAGCAGGGAGATGCCATCTCCATGGTGTGATCTGCACCTCTTGCTGGGTGACGGGGTTTTGAGGCGATTCATGATACTTCCTTTTCTGTAGACTCACTCTTCTACTGGGCTTGGTCTTTTTCATAGCGACTTCTATAGCACTTTCTGTAATGGGAGATCAGTCCTCTGTCTGTGATATGAATTATAGATTTTTCCCCTGAGTTGACATTGCTTCATTTTATTTTGTCATGACTTCAGTCAAAAAGAAAATCTGATTCTTTTCTGCATGCTTTCTGAATGTCTAAAAATTGCCCTTAAAATTGTTTAATTAGCTTCGATCAACAGTTTGCAGATTTTCTTCCAAAAATAAAATTACACAAAAAACGTATCTGCATTATATCCGTGTCTGCGTCCCCCCACTTAGGTGAGCAGACCACAGGGCCTGGACATGGCGCACCACAGTGGGGCCCCAGGGACAAGGATGGCTCACTCCCTCATGGCTCCCGAAGACGGCCTCACTGTGGCCTCAGCAGGGCCTCTGCCTCTGCCAGGACACACCCACTGTACCTTGCCGCATGACTCTGTCCCTCTGATCAAGCAGGCGGTACTTGTCCTCGGACGTCTCGGCCACAGTGCCGATCAGGCTGCTGAGGGGCGTCACACACTGCCCAAGGCCCTCAACACTCTCCAAGCCTGAGTCTGGGGGGCCTCCCTCGGGCTGGCGGGCCTTCAGAGGGCCAGGCTTTTTCACTGGAGAGCTGCAGAGAGGACAGCGTGTTAGTCTGTGTGACCAGGCATTCATGTCACTCCCATCCCAGACACCTCCCTATGCTGAAGACCATCAGCTCCTCTAAAGCTGATCAACTATGAGCACCAAAATGACACAGGCTTTGATGATGCTCCTATTACTCACTGTGCTTCTTAAACTTTGAAAAATTCTGCACTTTTAAAAAATGAGATGTACGTGATCAAAACCGCAAGTTTCTGTGATATGACTGCCCTTGCACTGTTCACCATGTAAGAACTTATTCACTATGTAAGACCTTGTTCACCACCATGTAAGAACTTGTTTGTTATGCTTCAGAAGATTGGAGACTATAGGCTTGGGGTTGATTAATGACTGTGCATTGAGTCCCCTATACAGAATTTTATTGTTGTTAACAACCATTTGATCTATAAATATGAGATGCCCTCTCAAATAAAAAAAAAAAAAATGAGATGACCCATTTCAGCAGCTAAAGTATCTATAGATTTCTAGCTCAAAGAAATTAAATTCAGCCTGAAAAAAAAAGACTCTAACACCAGGAGGAAGCAGCATGGCTGTGCGTTCTCATGCCCGACTTCACTTCGGCAGAAGGGTGTACTGCAGAAGCCAGGGCTTCTCCCCGTTCCTAGCTGGCATTCAACATTCCGTGTGCATGAACGGTGGACACTGGCCAAGTGAGAAGGGAAAGCTAATGCGAATCAGCAGCCGAGTTGTGAAGTGCAAAATGAAGAAAATAGGCCTGTTGCAGACAGTAAGGGGAGCACACCAGCCCCACCTGAGGGTCGCACAGCAGCTCCCCAGCTAGAACGCAGCAAGGGGGAGACCCCCTCACCATGACAAGCTGGACCTAAAAGGGGCTTGTGGGAAACTGCCAGACGTGGTTATTCAGAACTCATGGTTACTACAGCCAGTTAAACATTTTAAGGGGAAAAGTTACTGCTCATCCATTGTCAATGGGATGGGGGCCAAGCAAGATGAGCCAGGAGCCCCAGGGCTCTTTCCAAGCTCTTGCCCTCCCCAGGCCTCTCCCCCGTATCCCCCTGTGCCCACCTGTCCTCCTGTGGCCCCTATCAGGGGCCAGCATGCCACCCACTTTCCTTTCATGCTGCGGCCTGACTGCTGCAAAGTTCCTGCCGCTTTGTGGCCTCTAAAGTCAAAATACCACATGCCACGTAGAACAGTCACTAGAAGGAGTCACACCTTTTACTCAGGAGGCTGCTGGCCACGGCCCTCACTGCAGGCTTGCCAAGGGGCGGGTGCTGGAATGGCATGTCCTCAGCACCCCGGCCAGCCTCACCGTCCGCGGCTTTCTTATCCTTCAGTGGAAAGGGCTTCTTGTTGGGGCCTAAGGACACAAGTCAAAATGGAGTTTATGATGTCACAAGCCACTGGGCACTAGACTTAACTTTCTTTTGAGAAATATTCTCATAATTGTTACAGGGGATTACAAAGGAGCCCAGGAAACACAGTGAGATGCAATAACCCACTGGCCCTGGGAAAAGGGCTCACACTCGAAGCTAAAGGGGCCTCGCATGCAAGGCATTAGAGCCTGCAAAGAATAGCTAGAAACTCACTTATTTTCTTCTTGTGCCAAAAGAGAACCATGTCTTTATGCAGACCTTTCCCCTTCTTCCTAGCCAGGGCTGCAGATGCCTGGAAAACAGTCCACAACACAAAGTATGAGGCCATCTGGAGACCAAAGGAAATGGGATTAAAACCTAAAATGCAGCGAGCAGAATTCCATACAGCAGGGTGGCACCTCTGTCTGCTCCGAGTCTGACCACAGCCTGGCCTCCCTTGCCTGTCTGACAGGCATGCATTTATTCATCTCTGTTTTGAAATGAATGGCTTTACTGTGATACAACCTATGAGCATGTTCTCACTGGCATTTGGTGAGATGATTCTCACCATCAGATTATACACACATTACACACATTAATGGGAAAACTGCTAGGTCACACTTAAACACAAAAGAAAGCTGCAGAATGATACACATGAGATGCAATGTATCACAAAACACACAGACACAAAACCAATTCCCTGTTAGTGTGACTATAGCTGCAGCTATGGAAATACCTAGGAAAATATAATTGACACTAGCAACAGCTTGCTCCTGGGTAACAAGAGATGGAGGTGGTCAGGGGCCTCAGCTTTGTATGGATCAATGAATTGCTCACAGTGACAATGTATTTATGTATTATACATTTTTTATATAAGCACTTTTTAGGGTTCAGCTGGAAGAATAAGCACACTGTAGTAGCCAAAGAATAACTTTTAAAAAATGAGGATTACCATCTGACCCAGCAATTCCACTCCTAAGTATATACCTAACAGAATGGAAAGCAGGGTCTTAAAGAGATACTTGCACACCATACTCATGGCAGCATTATTCACAGTAGCCAAAAAGTGCAAATGACCCATGTCCATCAACAGGTGAATGGATAAACAAAATGTGATAGATCCATACAATGGAATACTATTAAGTCATAAAGAGAAATGAAATACAAACCCCACAGACAACCCTTAAAAACATACTGATTTGAAATAAGCCAGACACAAAAGGACACTTTTATAAGGTATGTAGGGTAAGCAAATGCAGAGACAGAAAGTACATTGGAGGTCCCCAAGGGCTGGGGGAGGGAGGTGTTCGGGAGTTATTGCTTAACAGTTACAGAGTTTCTGTTTGCCCTGAGAAAGTTCTGGAAATAGGCAATGGTGCTGGTTGCACACCGTCATGAATGCAATTAGTGCCAGCAGACTTAGAAAAAAATAGGAAGGATCAAATAGCAAAAGCCCTAACACTCTGCCCAATATCTTGGCACAGAACCTCCACTCACAGGAATTTAAACAAGGGACATAAACTAATCAGAAATATATACAACAGAAAATATTGGCTAAGTAAGTAAGCAAACAGGATAGCATGTCATGTAGCACCTAATCCCATGCTAATCTAAGCCTACTGACTAGGTTCAGAAAACACTGAAGATTGCTACACGAAGGGGGTACCAAACAGGATAGACAGTGTGATCCCATTTGTGTAAAAACAACATGACTATGTGTTTGCAAAGACATTGACCAAAGTACTCATAGTTGGTATCTCAAGAGGATAGAATTTGGGAGATTTTATGCCTCTTCCCATAGGACTTTTTGGTTTTTCCAAGTTGTCAGGCAATAAATACTTCTGTCATTTAAAAAAAGTATGAAAATATGCTTTCTACTTTATAAATTCCCAAAACTTACTTTTTCCCTGCAAGAATATTCAGAAACAATAATAAAGCTATACAGCTACATAACGGGAACAGTCCATGTATGCATACACATGACAACCAATGTGTTATGCATGTATGTGCTACACACACATTTCAAGTCAAGGTATAAGTCAAAGGATTAACAGCAGTTAACTCTGAAGGATGAGACTACAAGAGGGTTTACTTTCTCTGTATTGTTTAAATTGGTTTACAGTGATAATAAACTATGACCAAAAAAACCCAAAATCAAAAACAAAACAAGAAAACTCAAGATGGAAAAAGTGCTGTGTGATTAGAGACACTCAGAGGAATGTGATTGCATGGGAATCACTCACCCAGCATTTCTAGAACACTGCATTTGTAGGGGCTGTAAGCTTTTCACAAATGACTCCAAGTTACGAAATAGTGCTCCTCCAGCCTCTCCAAGGTAATATGATAAGAGTACTTACCTAAATTCTAGGAAGCAAACAATGATAGATTCAAATATAGGTTTCAAAGTGACAAAGTTCAAGAGAACCTTGCTGGGAGTACTCACATGATCAAAAAAATACACCACTGCAAGCTTCTTGCTGCGCCTGGTATAGACACGCTGCACTTTAGCAATTCTGCCAAAGTGGTTCTCTAGAATGGCTCTGTCATTGAGATAGTCAGGGACGTTCTTGCACTGGATGGCCGTGACCTCGCCAGGAAAGAAGCCCCCGAGACTGTCTGTGCTCTCACTTCTTTTACTCTGACGCCCAGGAGCTCCTCTTAGACAATCTAGGGGATCAGAGAACAAGTACAGAAATGCTTTAGATGGAACACTTTCGAACAACAGGAGGCACCAATGATGTAACAGCAAAAGATGTTCTCATGGATTTAAGACCTGCTCCAAGATCCTGTGGTATGTTAGGATCCCTAATGTTTACATGTGATTTACCAGAAAAAATCAAATACCCAGGAAAACTTCCTGAGAACTTTCCAGTAGAATTTGCCACGTGTTGCACATTTTTAGAGCTCACCTTCTTTTTTATCTCTACTTTCAGTTTCTTCCTCTTTATTCACACCTGGAAGCCGGGAAGGTGACAGGACAGACTGACTCCCTCCTGGAACGGCCATGTGGTCATTTTCCCCGGACTCCACACAGCCAGTTTCCTTCTTAGCGTCCTTGCTGCCTAGGCGGCCAACTTCTTTATTGCTCTTGAAGACATCCTGTATTGTCCGACCAAACAAGGTGCCTCCACGGGCGCGATTCAGGCGGACAGGCCTTTTATCTGGAGGATGATCTCCCCTGGGAAGAGGGTCAAAATCTTCTATTGCCTCATGACCATATCTCCTTGGGGAACGATCCTGGTCCTCCTTCCTTTTCAGGCCTTTCATGAGGCTGGGAAGTGGCCCAGTCTGGGAAACAGCTTCTTCACATTCTTGTCTGACACCTGTTTTGCTAAGAGCAAAGGGTTCAGCCAAAGCCCCTGAAGAAGACATGGGGAAGCTAGTGAAGCTACTATTAGAATTTCCAAATAGCGATTTAGGGCCTCTCTTCTCTTCCTCCACGTTTTGGTTTGACACAGCAGGGGTAAAGGCAGATGATGAACTGTTACTATCAATTGGTTTTGGAAAGGTAAAATTGGAATTGGTAGCTGAACTACTTGTCACCTGAGAAAAAGAAAATGGGGCCGGTACCCCAGGTCTGCTACTAACCGGATGGGGAAAGGTGAAAAATCCAGAAGTAATTTGGCTCTGAGTTTTCTCTGTCTCAGATTCAGCCCCCAATATTGGTCTGAACACTGAATTTTCCAGAGGTTTAAAGCTAAATTCTGTTTTCCCAAAACCAGAGCTTGCTATTTCTCCAGTTTCTGGTCCAAAAGTGGAAGTACTTGGGAAAGTCCCAAGGTTGGGTGATTTAAAACTAAATCCTGGGTTTCCAGGCACACATGAACTTGAAGGCCCAGAAGTAGCTACAAAGGCCGGAGTGTGTTCAAGTCCAGAAAAGAGTCTAACATTTGAGCTTTGGGAGAATCCTAATGTTTGGGCTGAAGAAGAATGACTTACTCCAGAAGATGTTGGAAAGCTAGCTACCTGTGAAAATCCTGAGCTTTTTGCAGTTAATGTATTGTTTTGTCCAAAGAGGGAAGGCTGACCAAATCGAAATGGCTGCTTAGCCTGAAATGTTCCAATGGAACTACTGGAAGATGATGGAAAAACACTAGGCTGCTGCCCACTGAAAGGATTAACTGGGTTCATCTTCTGATCCAATTAATGTAGAGTAGTAAATAATATGTGTACAAAAATAGTCCTTTTCCTCAAACAGTCTGTTCAGCAAGGGAGCTCCCCTTCATCTTCATGAAAAGCTGAAAGACAAAAATGCAGATCATCACAGCTGTGTCCTGCGGAAAGATTAAGCATTATTAATCACATTATTATCACAGACAAAATAACAAGGATGAATATTTATTTAAATATCAGGCAAACATGGGCTGAGTACTCTTACTTTATGAGAGCCAGTGTGTTCTTCGGTAGTGAGTGACAAGGGTGGTACAAATAAATTACTCTGTTACAGAGATTTAAAACATGATACTTTAAGATTTAAAAAAAGTATCAAATCATGTTACTGAATTGGTAAATACACGAAAAACCTCCCAGAGTTAAGAAGCAAATGAATGCCGTTAGACTTTGCTGCTTAAAGAGAGGCCTTTGTCCTGACTAGCAACCTCAACAGCCAGAGAATTACAATGTAACACTGTTTCAACCCTAGTGTTTCAGTCTTTCCTCTCATCTATTTTTTCTGCCAGAGGCCAGAGCAGTAAATACTCTTTCCAGACAATGAAATAAACTGTTTTTCTACCCAGGCGGCACCCAGGAACTGGCTCAAAGGGCGGGAGTGCCCAGGCAGAGAGGCTGCCCCAGACCCGGGAGCGGCCCCAGCGCGGCCCGAAAACGGCCGTCCCCGGTCTGCGCAGGGCCGCGCCTGCCGGCCCCGCCCGGCTCGCTCCGAGGGCGACAGAGGCCGGGGAGAGGCACAGGGGAAGGGGCGGCCTCCGCCCGGCCGCGCTCACCGTCCGGCTCAGGGACTCCGAAGCCCGCTGCCGCCGTTGCCCGGGGAACCGTAGGCGCCCGGCGGGAGGCGCAGGAACCGACCGCAGCCGCCGGAAGCAGCGCGTCCCTGCGCGCGGCGGACGGAAAACGCGGCTCACCGACTGCCCGTCAGTGCCAGGCGGTCCGACCCGGCACGGCACGGCCGCGCTCGAGTTCCACTTTCCGGGCGGCGGCGGCGCGGTTCCGGAGCAGCACGCACGTCGCAGGGCCTGAGCTGCGAGGCCCCCTCCTCCCCGCGGACCCCGGCGCCGCGCCCGGCCCGGCCCTCCGTGGGCGCCCCTTCCCCCCACCCCCGGCACTTCCGGCTGGCTGGCTTCCGGCCGCCGCGGCTCCCTCGGCGCCTCCTCCTGCTCCCGCCCTCCTGGCGGTGAGTGAGTTCCCCGAGGCCTTCAGCGAGTCCGCGGACGGAGGGTCGGGGCTGTGCGCGCGTCGTTAGCTTATCGTCGCCCTCCAGTACTGACCTTCACCCGCAGGTTCCTGTCCACGGCTGTCAGGAGCCGGCCTGGCGTTCCTGAGATGAGTTTGGTGCTTAGAAATCTGCAGCGAGCCGTGCCCCTCAGGCGGGCGCCGCTCCGCAGGGCGGTGGAGCTCGTGAGGGGCGTGTTGGGGGTGCAGAAGTTCGACCTGGCGGTCATCTGTGTCGACAACAAGAATATTCAGCACATTAACAAAACCTACCGGGAAAAAAATGTCCCAACGGATGTGCTTTCTTTTCCTTACCATGAGGTAAAAAGTATTTTCCTCTTCCCGTCTAGCCAACTTTATCTCCTGAACTGATCATACTACAGATACGATTTTTAAGTTTTATCGTGAAAACGTTCAATTGTACGCCCAAGTAGAACGCAGTATGACCACCCGCTTTGACCAGTTCCAGAGGAGAAACGATGACCAGGCCCCCTCCCCTTCAAATGCTATTAGCCAATTCAAAGAAAACAAGTGTTCCGATTTTAAAGGCAATTATATAATGAAATGCATGGCTGAAAAAATTTAACACTGAAAATTAAAAAACAGATGGGACAGCGATCTGGTTACTGTCTGTGCTACGTGAGTGCAAAGCCTTACGCGTTGTTAGTGGTAGCACAGACTGGAGCCCCTTTGAGAACGCAGTCTGGCAATACCTCACAAGCATTTAAGATGCACCTGTACTCTTTAATCCATTCCTGTCACATCTGTGAAAGTAAATCAAAAGGAAGAAGATAAAATGTCAAGTTTATAATTGAAAAAATGTATTAAAATGTTCACATTTTCTCTCACAAGAAGAAAAAGTAACACCTCAAATACCCAACCGTGGGCACTAGCTTGGTGAACAGACTGACGTTTATAGTCCTTGTGTGGGTAAGTGGGAAAGACTGTTTGAGACAAAATAACAAGCAGAAAGAATAGAAATATAAAACTGCCAATGTGGTGGAGAGCTCTGTGGAAGCTGAGTGTCTGTGTGATGTGCCTTGGGAAGAATGGAAGGAAGGGAAGGTAACTGATGCAACAAGGTGGGGACGTCCTACATCACCTGTGAGCCCCGGCTCTGCCATCATTCCCCCAACCCCCAGCCTTAAGATGAGCCAGCAGGGTCTTCCAGCTGGAAATCTCCAGACCCATGGTGGGTTACCTTTCCTGAAGTCAGCTTCTCCAAATCTGTATTTCCTCATTTGCAGAATCTAAAAGCAGGTGAAATGCCCCAGCCTCATTTTCCAGATGATTATAATTTGGGAGACATTTTCCTAGGAGTGGAGTATATCTTCCAGCAGTGCAAGGAAAATGAAGACTACTATGACCTTCTGACTGTAAGTGGGGTGCTGAGATGATAGACCCTGGCTGGTGAAACAGACCCAATGGGACCTCACACGCACTGTCCTGGTGTAGGACCAAGCCCAATGCAGCCCCTCCCCTCCGGTCTGGAGACTGTGTGCTCCATGTCAGTCCTGGGTGACAGGAGAGCACGGAAGCTCCCAGAAGTGGCCTTATGTTAGCTTTTCCTCTGGAGCTCAGCAGGCTTAGCAGACTCAAACCTGCTGAATGGTCTCTGTAGAGACTGCCCCAGTCAGGCAGATGCAAGCCTCCAGGGCCCGCCAGGTCTGTCCTCAGCTTGATGCAGATAAAATGGAGGGGGTGCTGAAAGCACAGTGTGTGATTTTGAACTGAGTTAACTTCCCCATGGATTCAGTTGCAGTATCTTCCTTTGGCAGGACAGCCTTGCCCTGAATCATCTTTGGGGTATCCCAGTGCTTCTCTGTAGTGAAGCAGAGCTTCCCAGAGAGACTGTGTGCAGGTGTTGGGGGTCTGCTTCCTCAGCCCGGGAGTAGAGGGTTGTACTCTGAGTGACAGGAGCCCCAGCACTGTGGACTATGGACTGGCCAGCATGAGATTCAGCTCTGGGGTCTCCATGTCCAGCAATGGTGCCCCCCGGGGGCTCTGGGGACAGTTGTGGACATCTACTTGCACTGCCCCACTACCCATACTGGGAGGCCAGCCCACCACTCAGGACCCTCATCCCCCGCACAGGTGAACCAGGCCTCCCTCCCAGCCGGCTCCAGCTGCATGTCGGCACCTCCCAGCAGAGCCAGGAACTCTCCACCTGCCTCCTCGTCCGCCATGTCTCCTTCCACCTCCTCCCCCTGCCCTGAAGAGCAGTGTCCCCTCCCACCGCACAGGGGGGTCCTTGTCTTCACCTTCCTGGACAAGGCCCCGGGCTACCTGCTGCCCCCCAATCCCGCCCTCTGTCCCGCCGGCTCGCATCTTCCTGGTGCTACCTGCTCCCAAGCTCTGCGCAGGCCCAGGGGGGGTCCCAGCCTCCCAGCAGGTGTGAGGGAGCTCTCCCTGCCTCCAGGCTTGGTCATGGTCAGCCCCTCAGGCAGCTTTTTAATTGTTCTGACAGGTGACTGCCACCCACGGGCTCTGTCACCTGCTGGGCTTCACACATGGCACGGAGGCTGAATGGCAGAAGGTAGGGACCTGGTCCTGTGGGCGCGTAGGAGGGAATGCTGGGTCGAGTGTTATGTCCCCCAGCCAGAGCCATCCCACCTGCCCCTTGTGGCCAAGTGCCAAAACGAAAATTGGACAACACATTAAGGAATCTTCATAATGCCTGCTTAAAAAAAAAGACTCACAGTGTTTGTCTCATATATCAGGCTCCCCAGATGTTGCTGTTTATTTATCACCATTGAAGGAAGTTCTGAGCAGAGACTGTATGAATTCTGCAAATTCTGCAAAATTCCAATAGATTAAGTTTAAAAATATCTATGAGGGAAATCGTGATAATTATAGCCTGGAACCAGGATTCAGCACACACAGGCATGCAGTCCACAGCCCGGCTGTGTAGTCCCTCTGAGGGTCAGGCACCAACACGCGTGTGAGGGCCCATGTTAGTACACACACCAGGCTGCACTTAACCAGGTTGTATATGTCATCGGACACACTAGCCTCTCAAGGATGTCAGGAAGCTTTCCTCCCTGACACTAGCCCTTGACGCAGTGCTTGTGCACGGCCAGAGCTGGGCCCCCTGGCCACGCCCTAGCTCTGCCTCCCCCACCAGGTGGTACCCGCTGTGGCCTCACCCCTACCCTTTGCATGGCCCGCCCACGCCCACAGCCCCAGGGCACCTTGGATCAAGCCGGAGACCTTCACCTCCAGCTGGGCCAGGGCGGGACTCCAGCCCACCCAGGGTTTCCTCATGCACCTCCCCTGGCTGCCCTTTCCCCTGGGGGGCTATCCTCGTTCCCCCTTGCCCCCCCAGACTGCGTCCCTGCCCAGCTGCCATCCTCCCGTCCAGCCTGTTCTGCAACCCCAGGCAAGCTCTCTCTTTCCTTCCCGAGACCACCACTCCCGGCCCCGGCTTCCAGCCCCTCCTGCTAGCTCTGGTTCACCGAAAGGTCCGTGTAGACCCTCCCTGTGCATGGGTGCAGGGGCCTAGACCCTCCCTGTGCATGGGTGCAGGGGCCCGTATGCAGTGCCTTACAGCTGAGGCTCCACAGCCGCAGGCCTTGGGAAGGGGCTCCCTGAAGAAGGGACTTGGGCTGAGCTGGACTCCCAAGGGCCCAAACAGGCTACCCTGATGGGTCCCTACAGCCATTCCTGTCCTTTCTTCCAGATGTACCAGAGGGAGAAGCAGGTGCTCGAGGAGCTGGGCCAGCTCATGGGGACCAGGCTCCAGCCCCTGAGCAGGAACCTCTTCTGATGGGGTCCACCCCAGACCAGGACTGGAGGCCGTGGGGGTGGAAGGTGGACCTCCCTCCCACTGGGCCCTGCAGGGCTGCAGAAATGCTGTCCTGCCTGAGCTAATTCCACTCCTGGACCCTGATGATTTTCTTCAAGTACAAGGGAAACCCCTCCCCACACCTTCGTGTGGGACATGGCAGACTCGCTAGTTTCACTATCAGACAAAACACAGTTCTGACCTCTTACAACGGGGAGACAAGCCTTGTCCTCCAGGGGTCGGCCTCTGGAGCAGGCCTCTCGCTCCTCTGCAGCCGGAAAAAGAACATGCAGCCTGGGTGGAGTGCCCCTCACCTCCTTCCTGCTAGAACCCACCTGGACCCAGGTCTGCACCCAGGAGCACTATGCCTGGGGTCTCTGCTCCAGGGTGGAGAGGGGTAAGGCTGAGCCTTGGGGTGGCTGCCGGGCCCAGGACGAGTCAGCCATGTGGCCCACAGTGTAGACCTGTCATGTCCCAGGATCTGAGCATTTGCCTGAGGACTGTACACACATGGCCGCTGCGTGGGTCCCGAGCCCTGACCACCACTGAGCTCAGTCATGCATCTCCCGGCTCCAGGGTGGCACCGCCAGCCATGCTGTCCTCCCCAAGAAAGCAGCCTCCTGTCTATTTCTTATTTGTCTTCTAAATATTAAAATAATAAAACTCGGAACTTTGGAGCTGTCCTGGAGCAGGGCGCACAAGGGGAGCATCTGAAGGCCCAGCCAGCCAGGCTTCCATTGCCCCCCAGGTGAAGCCCTCTGAAGAGGTCATGAAAAACAGCTTCTTACAGACCTTTTCTGGCCCTAAAACCCAGGAAACTATGGTTCTGAGAATTTGGTTCCCCCCATGAATCGAATTTAGAAACAGGAACGTGCATTTCCCGCAGATCTGCATTCCCCAGGGAGCCTCTGGGCTCCTGAGCTGTGGGCCGTGCACAGCCTGCTTTGCCCAGTGACACCTGCTCTGCGCCCAGAGGCTGACACAGCCAAGATGACCGTGCAGAGCCCTGGGTTCCATGGTCCCTTTCAGGAGATTGAACGGGTCCTAAGACCTGGTCTCTTGGCAGGTATTTTGAAGGCTCCCCCATCTGCCACCGGCGCGATCCCTGTAAACCTCTCGTCACACTGGGGCACAGGCATGATTCATCCAGACATGGATCTCAGCAGTACTTCAGGCCAGGAGTGGGGGGTCCACAGGTGATGCCTGATGCTTTCAGAGGCTGGGTCTCTCGTCTCCCCACAGCCTGCAGCAGTGACCCCAGGGCCAGACTCCATCCTGGGCACACCCGACCCCTCGTGTGCACCCTTCGACTGCTCTGTATGTTGCTGGTCACCAGTGACCCTCTTTGTTAGCCTCCTCCCTGCTGACTGCTTATGTCTTAATGCCCACTTCCCTACTGGGTTTTCTTGTTTTCTCCTGATTCAGGTGTTTCTCTGTATCAGTGAAAACACTGGAGAATGTAAGCAAGTGTCCTGAGCAAAGCCCATCCTTTGCTCCAGCTGCACCAGAGGGAGAATCAGGCACCACTGCCCACTGTCCAGGCAGCAGGTGGCCGTGGAGCTCCATCTTGGCTGTTAGAGTCCTCTGGCCACTTCTGTGCACCCCTGAGCGGCCCTCACTGCCCATGTCCTGGGGCTTCTGCAAACCCATGTCTGCCAGTGTGGCTCTCCTCCTGCTCCGGGAGTCCTCCCCTGCCCTTGCTCTGCCGCGGGTATCCTGGATTCAGTGCTGTGTGCCCCACACTGCCTGAAGTCCTGATGCCCATTTGATTTCATCTGCAGGCTGGCTGAGGACGCCATCCCTGTGCAGTCTGTCCCTTTGTGAGTCTTGCATGTCTGTCGGATGCAGGCCAGCACCAGGCTCCTTGCCCACAGGGACAGCTGTTCTGGCGTGTGTCAGGGTCCGTCTCTGCAGTCTGGCCGCTGCTGCCCCTTCCACAGCATGCCCAGCCATGACCTCTAATCATGTGCCCTGAGCTCTCCTGGTCAAGCCCCCTCTGTGTTCTCACACAGCGAGCCTGGTAGAGAACTGGTTGGCCTGCCAGCAGTGAATCTGTCCAGGTACAATGTCTTCGCCTGGTGCCTCCCTGTCAGAGCTGCCACAGCCGAGCACATATAGGTGGGGAGAGACGCATGGACGTTGGACAGGCTTCACTTGCCCCTCAGACCGTGCCACTGTCCCCGTCCCTAGTCCTGGGTCTGACCTTGCCCTCCTCCTGCAGCCACAGAAACATCCAGGGTTGGCTGGCACTTCTGCTGTTACCAACTGCCTGGCCTCTGGCTCTGAAAGAGGGTCACCAACTGAACCTGGCTTGCTGGGGCTGAGGGCAGGGTCTCCTGGGCCCAGAGTGTGTTTAAGAGGTGATCCGGGGAAGTCGGGGGCAGGCCAGAACGAGCCTGTGACCTGCTTTTAAAAAAAAATGTTTATTGTGGTAAATATATGTGGCCTAAAATTTGCCGTCTTCCCCTGTACAAGTGTACAGCCCAGGAGCATTTAGCACATTTGCATGGCTGTGCAGCCATCCCCACCATCGCCAGGATGCTCTCTTCTTCTCACTGTAGCTGTCCCCACTGGACACTCCCTGCCCTCCCCCGCTGGCTGCCCCAGCACCCAGCGCCCACGGCTCACCTGCCTGTCTACCAGCTCGCCTTCCCCAGGCCCCGATGAGTGGAAGGCTGGAGGCTTTGCCCGCTCGTGACTGACTGGCTGTCTTCCTTGAGCACGCTGCCCTGCAGGCTCCCCTACGGTGTAGCGTGCGGCATGATCTCCTTCCCTTTTGAAGGCTGACACTTGGCTCCCCAGTGCCTTCCCAGAAAGAGTGGATCGCAGTCATCACCAAGATGGTGGCTGACCTGCTGCTGATTTTCTTGGGGGCTCACGACACTCCAGTCGGGCCAGGCCGGGCCACTGAGCACACATTTCCCAGGTCAGGCAGGTCCTCTGTGCACTTGGAGACAGGAAGCCTGGGCTCTGGAGCCTGGAGGCCCGGCCCTGTCACCCAGCCAGGGAAGCCCCTACCTTGGCCCAGCTGCTCCCCTGCAGGAACACTCTGGACGGTGGCCACTCCAGCCCTGACAGACCACTGTGAATTTAAACAGGACCCCTGCTTTCCTCCTAAGTAATGAGGAAGAAGACTACAGGCCCTGAGGTCTATTGGTCCCACTCCCACTGGACACAGGGTGAGACTGAGACTCAGAGGCTCCGCCCCCCCCCCCCCAGGCCTGGGAGTGGGGGCCAGGAAGCTGCCCGGGGCAGCCACAGAGCAGCCTGTGGGATGGCCTGTTCTGGGAGGTGCCAGAAGCTCGACGATGTTTCCCCAGCTGCACCAGCCTCGCTGACTGGGGTCATCCACCTCCACAGGGAATTCCTGCAGACTCCCTGCATGGTGTGTTGTTTTCTCAGGATGGTTTGCACCAGCCCAGGGGTCTGACAGCCCCCTGAGTAAATTCACTGAAATTTAGCAAAGCTTGGGGCACTCTTCTAAAGACCAAAGGGCAAGTTTTAAAATCTCAAACTCAGCTTCGCCAGAGTCCCCAGCTCGGGATTTTCTGAGATCTGAGTTCAGAGCCACAGCTTACTCTCTGTCCTTCCCCAGTGGGGCATTTCCTGTTTCCTGTCCCTTTGTGTAGAGGTGTGAGGGGCACTCTGTCCTTCCCAGGGAGTCGTCCACCCCTTGGGGCAAACCCTGGCTCCCACTCTGGGGCCCAGCAGCCTCCAGGGTTTGGTAAAGGCTGGTAGTGATGTGCACACGTTTGCATCCCGTTGGTTTCCTGCAAAAGGCAAGTCCTAGAAGGGCAGTCAGCCCAGGGGCCCTGAGAGGACAGGCTGAGTGGGATCGGGGCTGGGGTGCTGAGCACAGGGCCCACGTGTGTCCCCCCCTGCCAGCCCACGTGCTGCCCCGTGGCTCTCTCATGGTGCAGTGGGACAGATATCCTCGTCCTGACCCCTTGGCCCGTCCCCATTGTCTGGGAGGGCACCTTCAACACTGACATCCTGAATGAGCAGTTCTGGCCCCAGAAAGTCACTGCAGGACTGTGTTTGCCACCAAAAAGTAAGTAGGTGAAGTGACAGGAGGTGGGGGTGACCAGGGACATTGGGTCTGCCCTTGTGTCCTGGCAGAGTGGGGTGGGACTGGGACCCTCACCCTTCCCCCCTCCGTGTCCTGGGGGTAGATATGAGGGTCCATTCATTCAGGGGTTCTGGGCTCTGCTGGGCTCCCCAAGTGGACACCACACCACTCCTTCTCAGGAGGCTGTGTGTCACCCAGAAGGGCTGCACAGATCTACCCCCCACCCACCTTGGAGTTCGCAGGCTAATCTGTGATCCCATCCTGCTGTCCCGCTGAGCCAGGAGCAGCCATGAACCCTCCATACAGGCTGCAGGGGTCCCTCCACCACCCAGAGGAGCAGCAGGGTGGAAGCCGTTCGCCCCCTTGGTCGGGGTAGAAGTAATGCCTGCAGACTAGCCTTCCCTGTGTGCTCAGACATAGGTGAGGGGGCAGCAAGGGGGCAGCCAGGCCATGTAAAGTCCTGGGTCCCACATCCCAGACCTGTGAGGGGGAGCTGAGCAGGAGGCCCCAGGACCTGGGGTCAGGTGACTTCAGGGGAAGGAGTGGGCAAAGGGGGGCAACGGGACAGCAAGTGCACACAGAATCCCTCCTCCAGGTCCTGGGGACAGGGCTGTGGAGGTCCCAACCAGACCCTCTCTCCGGGGCCCGCATAGGGGAAGCAGCCTCAGTGCCTGCTCTGAAGACTCAGGGTCTCGGGAGGCTCAGCACACTTGCCTGTGTATGGAAGCACTGTCCCCGTGTGTGTGGGACATACCCACAAATCACCAGGGCCTACAGAAACTGTGCAGGGGCTGCAGGAGGCAGGCCAACCCCTCGGGGTCCCCAATCAGACCATTCCTGCAGGTGGGTGTAGCCCCAAGTTGCCCCACCGAGTAGCCCCGTCCCTCCCTTATGGCTCCTGTTTCTTGGGTGCCTCCTTGGTGCCCCCTGCTGTGTCCCCACCTGCCCCGGGCATGGGGCCCCAGCACAGTCCTGGGGGCTGTTGATCCCACCCACCCCCAGGCTGAAGACAGGACAGGAGCCACGGTGGCTCCTGTCCCCTCCGGATGCACACCTGGGGCAGGTCCCTGCTCCCTGCACCTGCCCGCACCTGCCCCTCCCTCAGGCCTCTCCAACTCAGGAGCGGGGACACCAAGCCCAGAACCCTGGGGGGCATCTGCCACTTCTCGCAGCCCTGTCTCCAAACTGTCCACAAAGGCTGCCAGCTGTCCCTTCCCGGCCATTGGTGACCACCGTCCACTTCTGCTGGCCTGGCCTGTAGGAGCTGCCATCCACTGGCCCTGCCTCCCCCGGAGCTGCCGGGGCCCAGTCCCTCAGCAGCCGGACAGATCATGAGGTTGGTCCCGGGTGGGCTCCTGCTGGGCCCCTCGGGGCTTCCCGTGCCACTGTGTCCCCGTGACCTCCATGACCCCCACCTCCTGGCTGTCCTCACTCCCGCTGGAAGACTGACCCCCAAGTGTGGGGCCCCACACTTAGAGTTTGGGGGCTTTTCATAGAAAAGCATATGCACTGAGGGGCAACCCTGGGTGTTCCTATTATGAAGGAAGGTGCACAGTGCCTCCCACGGCACGTGGCAGCTGGCCTGGGTGACTGTTTCCTCCAAACCCCGAGCCCGCTCCTGCCTCCGGGCCTCAGCTGACCCCACAGGGGCCTCCCGTGTGCACAGGGGCCTCCCGTCTGTGTGTGCACTGCTGCCTGCCCACCTCCTCAGGTCTGTGCTCACGCGACCCCTTGTCACAGTGCTTCCCCGGCCACCCGGCCCCCTCTGATCCTGCCTCTAGTGCACTCCCCTGCTGCCCTCTGTCTCTCATTTTGTCACTTGGGGAATGTCTGTAGATGGAGTCCCTCGGTCTCCGACCCTCCAGATTTGGATGGAGAACCGTCAGCCCCTGATCCTCGCTGACTAGTCATTCATAATCTGGATGGACCAGGGTTTTCTACCCTCACCTATGGAGGACATTTAGGGTCTTTGCACTGGGGCAAAGCTACCTTGACCTTTCTTGTGCAGGTTTCTGGGTGGACATCAATTTTCAACCCTTGGAAAAATACCGTGGAGCTCAGTGGCTGGATGGTGTGTCAGGAGTGTGCCCAAGAAACACTTGCCATCTACTGATCTGAGAGGGACCCTCATCTAGGATAGGTAACTAGCGCCCATGAAGGTAAGAAAGTCAGTCCATGAGAAAAGGATGGGCAAAGACTGGACAAGGCACTACCCAAAAAGATGCCCAAGTGGGACTAAGCACCTGAATAGGTGCCCCACATCACTGTTCCGAAGGAAGACGAAGTCAGAACCACCCGGCATCCCAGGACACACCAAAGTGGGGCAAGTCAGAGCCCCCAGCGGGACCAGTGTGTGTGCAGGTGGGGCAGCGGGAGCCCTCTGCATGGCCGGGCAGGCCGGCTCTGTGAGTGCCGTGGGAGGACTTGCTGAGGATGGACACACACACCCTCTGTGAGCCGACACGCCCTCCACGAGGGATGCGCCCGGCACGCGGCACCCATGTTTGCAAGGGGTGTTCAGAGCAGGGCTGCTGCGCCTGTCACCAAACTGGAAGCGACTCTGCATCAGCCATGGGGTGGATAAAGAGCAGATGACATTGTGTGTGTACATATGGATATATGTCATTGTTATACGTGCTCAAATAATGTACATGAGTCTACAAGCATAATGAAGGAATCTGACGTGAAAGAAGACATTTGGGGTGGTTCTATTTAAATAAAGTTCAAAGAGGGGGACAAGAACTCCGGCAGTTAGGAGAGTGGCTCCCCTGGGGAGAGGGCGGGCCTGGGACAGGTGCGTCCGGGACGTGGGCTGCTTCTCGTGGCTGCTGTTCCCGCTGTGCACGTGCATGACCGTGGAGCTGTGCATGTGGGAATCCCCCACCTTCCGTGTGTCTGCTCCGCCTCACCTTGCAGAGCCTGGACTCGGGCGGGTGACGGAGTTGCCATCAAAAGCAAGCACACATTTGCCAGTTTGGACCCAACGTGGACCCACCGAAGCTGGTCTGTGAGTCGGGGGAGGTGGGACTGCGGGCCAACTGCGCTCGGGTTGTGCTCACGGTGCCTCTTTCTGCCGCCTGATATCCTGCAGCGAATGTGCCCTCGGAAGGACTCGGGCAGAAGTTTCCACGTGGGAAGGGCTGGCTCCGCGCAGCACCGGGGCAGACGGGAGCTCCCGAGGGCCGGGCGCTGCCCCCCAGCTGCGGGACCTCCTGGGAGGCAGGGCCTGGCGGGCACTCAACCCTCCCTGGGACAGGAGGCCTGCGGCTCAGGAGCCCCTTTCCTCAGGTATCAGAGGCCAGGTGAGCGAAGCTGAGATCTTCAAACATGCCGGGCACCTGAACTCTATGTCCCAGGAAACCAAACCGGTCAGACAGAGCTACTCAGGGGAATGGGGAGGGGGCCTTACAGGAGACCCTGGGCCCGGGGACCCCACAACAGCCTTCGTCCAGGCAGTTTTGACTCTGGGTCTGCAGTAAAAGGGGTTCGCCCTCTTGCCCCTCCACACACACGACGGCCAGGTGTCCCTGTGCTTCGTCCCCTAAGGACATGCTCCACAAACCCTCAGCAGCTGAGCAGCAAGGACGAGGCCCCCCGCCAGCTGGTCATCCCAATGGTGCAGGCCCAGGGCCAGGCAGGTGCAGCATGGGGAGTGCAGGGGGCAGGCAGGACGTGGCCCTGTTACCTTTTCCTTGGAGGTGTCTTGGGAAGGTCCGTTCTGCCTTCCCAGATGCAGGAAGTGGGATGGTTGGTGTGAGGGCAGGAGGCCCTGGTGGTGGGATGGAGAGGCAGCTGCCCAGCGGGGCTGTGCACAGAGGGCGCTGAGCTGGCAGGGCGAACAGGCCTCTGGCTCCCATGCTGCTCCTGCCTGCGGGCACTTGGCCTCCTCTGGGCTGGCGGTGGGTCCCCTCTGTCCTGGCTCAGCCCAGCCTGTCCTCAGGAAGCCAGCCCTGCCTCTCCTCTTCTATGTGCTCACCTCCCAGGGGAGGGTGCTAGCATCCCAGGTGGGGCTGCAGGCATCCTGGGGGCCCAGTGGACCACGGCTGCCCCATGTGGGTCTGAAGGATGGGCCAGAGGCAGCCGTGTGCATTCTGAGGCTCCCCAATCTGCCCACAGCAGGATGTGCCCCACAGTCATACTCGAGGTCCTACCCGGGTCCCCAGGAAGGCTGGTGACAAGGGTGGGGGCTGATGATTCCTGCGGGTCCTTCCTGGCCAGACATCAGAGTCTGTCAGGTCAGAGGGGAAGCAGAGCATCCCCCTCGTGCCCTGAGAGCCCCTCCTGTCTGGAGAGGTGGAACCCCAAAGTCCCCTTCCTCGCTGGTGGACATGGCATGCTGTGCAGTCCTGAGGGCCTCCTTGAGGAGGCGCAGCCTTCGAGTCAGCCTGTGGCCACACCTGGGGTCACCCCCCAGGGGGTGGGGCAGGAGCCCTTCGACAGGCCCCCAGATGGCCCTGTGCCCCTCCCTGTGTGGCTCACGGTCTGGGGCCGGGACATACGCGGGGAGCCCAAGCCTGCGCTCCCAAGTCAGAGGTGGTGCTGAGGGGCTGTGGCCCCTGGGACCAGCCTCACCTGGGCATCCTGAGCAAGTCACTGCCCCTCTGTGGCAAGTGGATCACTGTCACTTCAGACCATTTCCTTAAGTTTTCTTCTATCAAAGTGTCTTGTGTGGACGAATCCCATTAAAGATGTCGTGTCCACGCATGACCGAATGGCATGGGAAGGACATGGAGGGACCTTCTGAAGCACGTCCTGCCCTTCTGCATTTTCCAGGGAGTGGCTGGAATGCCCAGGGCCATTGAGGGTGAGCGGGAGGTGCCCTGGCAGACCTGTCTGTGGGGAAGTTGGGGTTCCTATGGGCAGGATCCTCACTAAACTTAAACCACCTGATGATGTAACTGGCCTGTTGCTAGGCTATCACTTCCACACCTTTAGGCAATAAGCTATTATTGTGCCATATAGAGAGCTGGGCCCAGTGCTGTGGGCGGAGGTAGAGACGCTAGTGCTCAACCTACCGCTGGGAGAACAAGCTGGGTAATAAACCCCTTCAGCCCCAAGAACATTCACTGCCATTTATTTGGTCACATTGAATCCATAGTGAACTTGCCCAGGGCTGAAACCCATTGCCAAGACAATTGGCACAGTTGGCAGGGTTCATTGTTGACCAAGGAAAAAGACAGGCTGCCCTTATGGGAGGGGTGCTTCAGCAGGCTGCCCCTGTAAATGGGGAGACAGTGGACTGTCCCCCAGTGGGTATGTGGTCCGAGGTGGCTTGCCTCCTAGAGGACTGGGCCCCACCCCAGGACTGGAGGCAAGTGGAGTTGACACCTGAGGCTGTGGGGGTGGCCCTTGGCATAGTAAGTAGGTCTTTGAGAAACAGAGTGCCCGTGAGGCAGCGGGGACTGTGGGCTGGCTGCTTCTCATAGTATTAAAAAGATCTACAGAGGAGACCCAAGAAATGGCAACAGGAGAACGCGAGCTGCAAACCTCTGTGGATGCCCTGAGGAGGGAGATGGCATTGATGCAGGAGGAGGAGGCACGAGAGCACTGGCAGCAAGGTGCCATTGGAGAGGTAAACAATTTCTTACAGAATCAGATGGCAGTGCTGCCAGGTGTTCTGAAGGAGGAATGCGGGAGTCCAGCTCCAGCCTAGGAGTGGGATGCCTGAAGGTGCCGGACGGAGTCGGCGTATGGAGAGATAGGACACGGAGTCAGTTGGAGGTGGTCCCTTGACAAAGTGCCGATGACAGCTTTATTTATACCATTTTGCACAAGGATATGATTATTTTTTATTGTTCTGATGATTAATTAGTATAGGCAGTGGATTAATAAGTATAGGCAAGCTTTTTTCTTTCTTCTCCTTTCTAATCTATTCATGGTTGGGCAAGCGTTAGACAGGTGATTGTTTTTCTGTTCCTTGACCTAAACTTTTCCTATCAACATGTACTCTATTGTGTTTTACGTTTCTATGCAATGCAGTTTCTAAGTAGTGCATGTGACCGTAGGAGTGTGCAATATGTAGCAGTGACTATGGAGTCTATCAGCTCAGGGTGAAATACAGGTCACCTAGTGCCACAGTTAGCTAGGATTCTTTCCCACAAAAATATTCTTAGAGGCTTTAATACATTTATAATCAATCTAAAATCATAAACTCATATCTTCACCTTATACCCCTTTATAGGGCACAGTAGGCAGCAAACTAAATTTCCCCTTCTTATCTACATTTCTCATTCTTCTGTGTGGATACCAAAATCTCCCTGACATATGCTACACAGGTCTCCATGACTCCACTACTGCAGGGACTAAACAAGTTCTTACATGGTGAACAATGCAAGGGCATTCATATCATAGAAACTGTTTCTGTTCTAACTACAAATCTTAAAGTATAAACAATCACGTCAAATATAATGTATGATTATTCATTTGATTTTTATACTTTATATGTGAATCTAATAAAATGTTAATGTAGTAGGTAAATGCAAGATATAGATAGAAAGCATGATTTAGAACTGTAAGAAGGCAGGTGTAGATGATCAGGTTTGTGCCTACAGACCAGGTCTTAATCCAAGCTGAACAAGGGCAACAAAACATCCACAGGTGTAGAAGATTTCTTTCAAAACTGGGGGGGTGAGGTTCTAAGCCTCACCTCTCTTGGCCCCCTTTTTCTCACCTGATGGCCCCCCTACAACTGTGCCTGTCTTAGGTTGTTCTTCCCTTGAGGAATCTTACCCATCTCTGGCTAACCAGCCATCTTCCAGGGCCATACAGGGACATGTAAAGCTGGCAAGTGAGAGAGAAGTAATGTTCTTTGAAAATGTTAGTTTTTTACTTCTTTGCAGATTTATGCTCTGTGGCTTCCAGGCCCAGCACTTGTCTTGAGGTATTTTTACTTCCTGGAAAATTATGGTATTTGGTAATTTCACATATAAGGCACAAATTTTAGTAAATGGCTATAATTAGGAAAGAAGAAAAACAAACTATAGAAGTAGTAGAGGGAAGAAAACATGAGATGATTAATTGTCAACAGGGTTATTCCATTCAACATTCTCTCATAACTCTATTTCTAGAAAACTTTCCATCACTAGTTTCACTAGCATTGTAAACAAGGGGGGCATTCTCAGTGGAAATGGAGTGGTCAGTGTTTGACTAACAGCAGGTTTTGGTACTTTATGCCAAGATCACCATTTGGCACCTGCGTGTTCCATTCTTCAGGAGCACTGTCCTGAAAAGCTCCTGGGAAACTTATGTTCTCATCCTTTCCACACTGCTCAGCAAAGGTTAGTTAACCCTTGGCAACAATGCAAGCAAAAAACAAAACCAATAGTATAATGGAGAAAAACAAAAGGTGGGTAATAGGGAGAGTCAGCTGCGAAGGCCCCTGCTTTGTGGGGGGTCTTCCTCCAGCCTGAGCTTTGCTACACAGCTTGAGTAGCATGGCTCCCAGCAGAGGAAGAGGCCATCAACAAAAAAGACAAACTCCTGAGGGAAGCACAGGCGGAGGTGGCATGAGAACGTCAGCTGTGAAGCATTGAGATGAAGGTAAGAGACCTTCTGAAGACTGAAGTAGCATTGCTGTGAGGCACAGTAGAAAAGGTAAAGGTTTTAGCAGAGGAGGTACGCAGGGGAGGGGAGAGAAAGGTGCCATCAGCCCCAAAAGTGGAGGAGCTGGGGAAAGATGAAGGGGTGGTGCCAGAGGCACTGACGCCTCCTGTATTGAAAGCAG